ATCGGCAAATTCGCGAATACCTCGTATAACGAATGGATCATCAAGGAGGGCCGTACATCTCCTCGCAACGCTCGTGGAGACAGACGAAGAAGCTTTTGTCGAAAACTCAAACTTCTCTGCCAGCCTCACGAATCTTCTTGTGCGGATCACCGGGGTCAACAGCGTCCGGCTGGGGTCCGATACCGAAGCCAAGGTTGTCGAACTTGCCTTCAACATTACTACGAAGATCCGACTTGACCGCGACATCCTCCCGGTCTGGTTCAAGGCCGAGCCGCCCGGTCCGCGTGAGCTCGAGAAGACACAAGACAAGCATGAGACCTTCGCTGGCAGAACCCAGAGGCAGGACTTTCCGCTGTTCTACATATTGATGGACTACATCCACCAGGAAGGAAAAGTCGGCGACTTTGCGAGGACGGGACTACTCTACATCATCGAGTGCGCTTCCAGCTCGGAGCAACTGGAGCAGTGGATCGTCGAGAGCGATCTATCAACACTCATGTCGACAGGATTAGGCGCTTTGTACAGCCAGCTTAGTCGCAAGCTGGTTATCGACCACCTCCCACACGACTTGCCTCCCGTTCTTGCCCTCTCCGACTATGAACACCCGACGTCGACGTACGAGATCATAAGCTCGTGCTCCCCCGACTTTCAGCTGCATCTGGAGACTTTCTTGTCGCATCTTCTTTTCTGGCAGGATGTCTTGGAGCACTGTAAGTCAGTCGAGGTCAAGCAAACGCTGCTGGAGCATTTCCAGGTTATCTTTCTGCAACAACTTCTGTAGGTCAATTCTCCGCTTGCCAAGCGAACCGCATCTAACTGTTCTAGATACCCATCTCTTCTTGAGTCTTCCGATATCGACGGCGGCTCTTCCGTCGCTGTCTTGACCTATCTGCGCCGTATCCTTGAATCCCTCGATCATCCGGACATGATCAACCTCATCCTACACTATCTCCTCGGGCTACCGAGCCATCTATCTGGCCGCGGGCCCGGCTCACGAACGTCCATCAGCGACGCGCGCAAACGCAAATCTATGGATCTCGCCTCCATGATGGCTTCGGCGAATTCCGACTCGACTGCGACTCCACTCCTTTTTAATCTCGTAGATCTCATGCTCGCGTGCCTGAGGTCCCACAACCAGCAGACAATCCACGTCACACTGCAGCTGGTATCGGCCATTCTTAAGAGACATCACCGGTACGCCGTCATCACTCTGCTGCATACGGATGTCATCGTGGGCGAGAGGGCCAAGCGAACTATTGGTGCTCACGAGCAGGAGGTCGACTATTTGGTCAACCTCGCTGGCTCAATCGGCGGCCAGGACAACTTCGATGAAATCTACGACAGCATCGTGAAGGATACGATGGCTCGCCTGGAGAGTCACCCTTGTTCTTTGAAGCTCGTGGCACCTAAAATCTCCACCAACAACCACGAGTTACCTGCGATCCCAGACAGCCTTCCCGGCGCTCCTCGTGACGTGCCACAACACACATTGCGGCCTGATGATCCCCTTCTCAGCACATTGCTGGATCTGTTGGAGACTTTCTTCGTGAATCCTGTCGATACCAACCTCGCTCTAACAGACACTGTCGTCAATCTTGCCATCTGCGGCTACATGAGCATCGAAGGCTGGCTGTTGAGGAACCCTCAAAGGTACACGTACGAACATGACGCCGATCCCACATCTCCCATCACTCCGGCCACGCCATTGTTCAATGTGGTGCCTGTAGACCCAGAAGACCCAGGCACCACCGAGGCTGAAAAGCTCAGAGCCATCGAAAGCTGCAGACGTTGTCCTCTCTGGGCCCAACCGTCGTTGCCTCGCATGCTGGTCGTCTTGCAGCGACTCTGCACGCAGATCTCTGAATATCGAGAAAATATTCCCCGCTTCGACGAGCTGCTGCAACACCGTCGAGAGGCCTTTCAAACAGCCGATTCGGTTCACGCCACACCCAGTCTTCCAGCGAAACCCGTGCCGCATCAACACAGTTCAACCCAGACGCCTGACCGCCCAAGCCTGGAGGAGATTTCCCGAAGCGGCTCGCCATCGCGTCCATCGGCCCTCGAGGGCTTCGCACAGCGCCTTCTCTCTGAATTTGGCACGCCCAGTCGAACCAGCAGCCCTCGCGGTCGCAAAGAACACAGCCGTGGCTCGGGTGCGGCCAGCCCAATGCCTGGCGGTACGCCGGGTGGCCACGGTGCCTCCACGCCCTCGGCACGGCCTCTCCCATCATCAGCTCCTAAGGAGTTCCCGTTCAACTACGATGACCCATCGCACAGCGGCGCGCGCGCATTTTCGCCGAGCAGCGCGGGCGGCGACTCTGCAGCTGCCAGTCAGCAGGCGGCATTCGCGGCGGTTGATCAGAGCATTCTGGCGCGACGGGTCGGCAAACCGGCGAACATCAAGGCGATCCCTTTGCGACTCGGCCAGGATGAACCGGCGCCTGGCGAGGAACGCGTCACAGCGCACGAACCGCCTCCAAAGGACGACGACGAGGAGCAGGAGGTCGAGCGCCAAGGCGACGCAGACACAGATGACGGGGAGACGCAGACAGGCGACGGAGGCAACGATGCTGCTGCTACTGGAGACGTCGTCGACGACGACGAAGAAGAAGAAGGCAGCGAGCGCACCGCGTCCGTGTCGCACGTCATCACAAACGTGCTCATTCTGCAAAGCTTTCTTCTCGAGCTCGCGGCTTTGGTGCAGGTGAGGGCGGGGGTTTGTTTGACGAGGTACGCTTTGCGTAAGTGCAGGGTAGCGGACCAGATGCTAGAGCAGGGCCCTTGAAGATGGGCCGTCTTGTGTTTAGACAGAAAGCGGGAGCATAGTTTGGCGTCGGATGGACCTGGGTAGAGAGCTTTTGGGGCGAAGCGCGATGTCAGCATGGGTATATCGGGGATACATTGTTCTTAATTGCACTGCCTCCCCCCGAGGCGGGGTGGCTTCCGTGGAGGAAGTCGTAAGATTAGAAGGAGGAGCTTCACTTCTTGTACGATGCCGGGGGACTGCGAGTGCTTGGCCCATGGTCCTTTCAGCTCAGCAGCTGGGCTCGCTTTCGTTCTGTTTGGTCTGAACGAACGAGGCGTGAGGATGGTGGAGCGAGCGAGCCTCTCTTATCGTATCGCTCGTCCTTGGCAGTGAACTCCAGGAGGTAGGGCACCCTAGCTTAGTACCTACTCCGTAGCTACTAAGTGACCTACTCACGTAGCTACTTATGTACCTACTTAGGTGCCTACATAGGTAGATTGGAAGGTACCTACTTGGGCAGCCTGGTAGGTACCCTGAAAAAAGGCACCTACCTACCTCAGAGAGGCTCCTCAGAGAGGAGGGTGACGCGGATGATCGCGTCTCACGTCACTGACCTAGCGCCTTCGCCCATTGGAAAGCAGCTCCCACCCACCACTGGAATCTTGAACTGCTGGCCAGGCGCACTTCGTTTTGTCTACGTTGCTTCACACCGACTAACCTCGACAGCGCAACTTCATCACCAGCAACCTGTCGACCTTGTTTTCATCCATTTCTCCGCATTCTCCCGATTGAGCGACGCCGTCCACTGCGAACCCCCCCCCCCTCAACTTCCTCAACCGATCCCTCTTCTCTCGGGTAGTCAGAATTCAGAATCTCAGGCCAACCTCGGACGATGGCTCCCACCCAGAACCACGAAGACCTGAAGCACCGCACCCAGGAATCCGCCCGCGGCGTCTACGCCTTCAGCCAGCGCCAGCTCGACCGCGCCGTCAGCCCCTCCACCCGCCAACAAGCCTACACCAGCGCCGCCGACTTTGCCCACGAGCGACCCCTCCTCTTCGTATGTGCTCTGTTGTCGTGCTGCTGCTCCCTCTTTCTCTTCTTCCCTTGCCATGCATCTCTCCCGCCTCCTAGCTACCCCTCCCCACCCCCCCCAGAGTGACACAGAGCCAAGGCTAACGTGCGTCATCGTCGTCCTCGACACAGGCCTTTCTCGCCGCACAACTCATCTTCTCCTTCCTGCCGCTCGTCATCTTCGCGACCTTTGCCCTCTCGACTGGTCGGCTTCGCCCTCGGCGCCGCCCTCCTCTTCGCCCTCTTCTGGATTCGGGCGTCGCGCTGCTGGTACTCGTGCCGACGCTGTTCCTGACGAGCGCCGTCGGGCTCCTTGTTTGGATCTGGGCCGCTGGGAGCTTCGTTGTCGCGCGGAAGCTCTGGCAGGTTGCGCCGGCGAGTGTCAAGGGCGGGCAGCATGGGTCGACCAATGGTGAGCGGACTGGCGTTGTGCTGAAGGAGGAACCTCGTGATTGAAATATTGGCCGCGGAGTTGGAGTGTGTGGTGTAGGACAAGCATGGACAGTGCTTTGAGGTTGATGTCGCGATGGGGATTTTTCTTTGGGATGGGCACAGGCACAGGCACAGGCACAGGCGTATAAGGATGGACGGGTTATGACGGACTAGGGTATCACTATGCTTATAAAATGTACTGGCAAGAGTCTCTTGTAATATCATGGCATCACTGCCCCCGGATTTGACCTGGACGGGCGACTTTCCATCGGTTTCATACGACCACCTTGCTGAGACAAGCGTACATAGGACGTGTTTGCCTGCCTCGAGCTTGGTGAGTCGCAATCATCTTTTCCACCACGAATCAACTGACCGACTACGGCAGAATACAAAAACATGGCGATAGCTCATCGACGAAACGGTGGGGCCATTCAGAGCCGCCCTATAAGGTCATGCCTTCAACTTTCCCGTTCTGGGCCTCCTCAAAAGCTGCACTATTCGATTTGAGCCTTCATTGGCACACTAACGCATCACATGAAGAACACGGCTTCTGCTTCTAGTGCCCATACCCCACGACCGGCTCGCTCCGGCTGCCCGAATGGGCTTGGGCCTGCGCTGCACTCCACCCGGGCCCGAGACGGCGTCATTTTTCGGGTTCTTAGCCCGACTTGGGCCCGAGGTTGGCTTACCCACCGGGACAACCCACCCTCCTCCATCTCCAATCGTGACCTCATTGTGCTTACCCGGTTTTCGCATGTGTCCCCGGTCTTCTCCAGTGTTTTCTCCAGTTCTTACAAGTGTCAACAAAACGTCACAGAGAATTCTGACTGCTCTTCATGTCTCTCCAGTCATACTCAGGTCGAGTCGATCGAGTCGATAGATTACGCCTCGCTGACGACATACACTGAGAGGCTCCAAGGCAAGATAGCGATGGGTGAGCCAATCCGCGACAAACCTCTGCACGGGGATCAGATCCCCGCCGCGCACCTCCAGCCGCCGATCGCCGTTGTGGGGATGGGATGCCGTCTGCCTGGCAACAGCAACTCACCACAAGCCCTCTGGCAGTTCATCTCCAACGGCTCAGTCGCCGACAACGTGCCTCCGACGAGTCGCTTCCGTTACGCGACGCACTATGACGGCTCCGGACGCGCGGGAACGACGCCGTCCCCGGGTGCCATGTTCCTCGGGGACGAGATCGACATCGCGGCCTTCGACGCGGCCTTTTTCAACACGAGCCACCATGAGGCCGGGAGCATAGACCCTCAACAGCGACAGCTTTTAGAGGTCATGTACGAATGCCTCGAGAATAGCGGCGAGACCCTCGAAAGAATCCGAGGCGCCAACGTTGGTTGCCTCGTCGCCAACAATGGCTGCGGTATGTGTTTCCTTTTCCGCTGTGGAACGTGGCAGTGCAATGAGTTGATCAGTGCGCAGAGTACGAGAGCGGTACGACGCGCGATCCGGAGGACCAGATTCCAGGGCGAAGCACTGGATGCGGCCGCTCTATTCTTGCGAACAGGATTTCTCACTTTTTAGACATCACGGGACCCAGGTGCGTTCACTTCTAGGCATGACACGAGCATACAGCTAACTCAAACAGCATCGCTATTGATACCGCCTGCTCTGGAACTCTGGTCGCCGTCGACATGGCTTGTCGGTACCTCCAGTTTCAGCAGGCAGATGCGATGATTGTAGCGGGTGCTTTGCTGTACCTCGACCCATCAGCACAGCAAGACCGCGGTCCCATGCACGGCGCGCTTTCCACGTCCGGCAGATGCCACACCTTTGACGCCAGAGCCGATGGCTACATGAGGGCCGAAGGCGTCAACGCCGTGTACCTGAAGCGCCTCGACGATGCGATCCGCGACGGAGATCCCATCCGCGCCGTCATTCGCGGCAGTGCCACGACGGGCGACGGCCGAACGCCAAGCCTCACACAGCCCAACCCGGAAGCGCAGGCAAACGCGATACGTGCCGCCTACAGGAACGCGGGCATCACCGACTTCAGCGCGACCGGCTATGTGGAGTGTCACGGCACGGGCACTCTGGCGGGCGATCCGCTCGAGATCACCGGTCTCGCTTCGGCCTTTGCGTCAACGCGTCCTGTTGACCAGCCGCTGATCATCGGGTCTATCAAGAGCAACATTGGGCACTCTGAATGTGCGGCAGGGTTGTCTGGACTCATCAAGGCGGTCATGGCTGTTGAGCGCGGCGTCATTCCCGGAAACCCGACGTTCATCACGCCGAATCCCAATATTGATTTTGAAGGATCGGGAGTCCGAGCGTCCCGCACAGCCATGCAATGGCCGAGCTATGCGGCCCTGCCACGCCGTGCCAGTGTTAACTCCTTTGGATTTGGTGGATCGAACGCGCATGTTGTTCTTGAAGCAGCGGAAACTTTCATGCAAGATGAGGGCTACCGCAAGACGTTCAAGACGTTGCAGGACCAACACAAACCATACACGAGCAATCAGAACGTGTCATGGAAAGACAGACTCCGTCTCTTGACGTTCTCGGCAAATGACAGGGAAACGTTGCCGAGCAATGTAAGGGTCGTCTCGGACTATTTGAGGGATCCATGCGTCAATGCCCAGGCCGACGATGTCGCGTATACACTCTCTGATCGTCGAACGCACCACTTTCATCGCGGTTTTGTCGTTGCCGATTCACTGGATTTCGATCCCAGTAAAATCATCATCGGCAAGCGAAAGGCGCAACCCCCTCGCATCGGCTTCGTGTTCACCGGGCAAGGTGCCCAATGGCCTCAGATGGGCAAGAGCCTGATCGAGAACATACCTCTGGCACGCAGCGTCGTTGATGAGCTCGACTCGGCTCTGCAGACATTACCGAATGCTCCCCAATGGACATTGCTGGCTGAGCTGACCGAAATGAGAGATAAAGCGACGCTTCGTTGCCCGGAATTCTCTCAGCCTCTGGTCACCGCTTTGCAACTCGCCCTGCTTGCTGTTTTGCAAGACTGGGGCATCGTGGGTCACAAGGTTCTGGGCCATTCATCTGGTGAGATTGCTGCCGCCGTTGCCGCCAATCTCATCACACCTGCGGAAGCAATCAAGACCGCCTACCTCCGTGGGCAAGCTGCAAAGAGGCAGTCTTCTGACGGGAATCTGGGAATGATGGCGGCAGGCGTCTCTGCGTCAGATATCGAGAAATATTTGAGATCTGACGTCTCCGTTGCTTGCTTCAACAGTCCCACGAGTCTGACATTGTCTGGCCCCGTATCCACTCTCGAATCCATTCGCGAAGACTTTCAGAATGACGGGCATTTTGCGCGTCTACTCCAGGTCGATCTGGCCTATCACTCCCCCTTCATGCGTGAAATTGCCAACGATTATCACAAGATGCTCCAGGAGCACTGCCCTCCATCTGGCAAGCATCTGAGAGGCAACTCCATGCTCTCCTCTGTTACGGGACACGCCATGTCCTCGCGTATAGGGCCTGAATACTGGAAAGCCAACATGGTCAATCCCGTGCGGTTGCGGCGCCCGCCGCGGAAATGCTCTCCGGGCCTGACGCATGCGACTTCATCATTGAAGTCGGCCCCTCTGGGGCGCTGGCCGGTCCCTTGTCGCAAATAATCAAGTCTCTGCCCGGTGGTGGGAAGAACATCCAGTATGCTGCGGCCGCAAGTCGAGGATCAGAGACCCTGGCTGCTCTTTTCGAAGTAGCAGGTAAGGTCTGGGCGAGGGGCGGCCCTATCAAGCTGGCCAAGGTCAATGCGTATGACCGCCCTTCCGTCCTTGTTGATCTACCAAACTATCAATGGAATCACTCCAGGCGGTACTGGCGAGAAGGACTCTCGACGGAGGAGTACCGCCAACGGCCGTTCATATCACACGAGCTCCTCGGGTCCAAAGTTCTTTCCACGAGTTGGCAGTTTCCCACCTGGACCAAAGTCATTCATCTGTCGGATTTGCCGTGGCTAAGGGACCATCGCATCAACGGTGAAGTCATCTTCCCAACTGGAGCATATGTTGCCATGGCGGTTGAGGCCATCCGCCAGTCCAGTATCATGGCCAGATGCTCAGGCGGTGCGCAGCCCACTTCTTTTACCTACAGGATGAAGAACATAAATGTTCTCGAACGTCTCGTTCTCGATGAAGCGGAAGGCTCAAGAACAAGGTCGATTCTCTCTCCAGTTCATGATTCGGCAGAGCAGTGGCATACTTTCACTATCCAGTCCTACGATGAGATGGCTTGGGTTACGAATTGCATCGGGTACATCAGAGTTGATGAAACGGTCGCAGACGGGCCTTCATTCCCGGCTGAGACTGTGCCATTGCGCTATTCTGAGTCCGGGGGAAGATGCTACAAAAGAATGGCCGCTTTGGGGTGCGACTATGGCCCTCATTTCCAACTGATCAAACGATTCCAAGCTGCTCCAAATGAGAAGTGTAGTCGAGGGGTGCTGGAAACCGAGTCGCCAGAGCACCATTCATCATACTCCATTCATCCAGTGACCATTGATGGGTTCCTCCAACTTTGTGGTCTCTCCCTACAACAGAGCTTGACGACGGCTGGGGAGAGCGTCAGCATGGTGCCCAACCGTATCGGAAGTCTCACAATACCAGCAAACGAGCTTATCGAATCGACATGTATTGGGTCTGTCCTCCCTCAGTACATTGGCTATGGATCAGAAAGCTCAAGAGCCAATCTTACCGTGTCTGGAAAACTGATTCATCCGAAAAGCGGCCGCCCACTTCTCGATATGAGCGGCGTGTTCTTTGACGTTTTCACGCCCAAGGAGGACTGCTTCACAAAACACACATATACTCGCTATAAATGGGACATCGACATATCATTGGCGACCGCGGAAGGCCTAAATAACATGCTGTTGAGCCAGAACCCTTCTCCAACCTCTGAAGACGCATTGCAGAGACTCTTTGATCTCATAAGCCACCAAACGCCCGATGCCTCAATCATCGAGGTCAACATGGACGACCAAAGCTCATCATGCAAATGGCTCGGGACTCATCCAAACAGGCCTCATGCCAAGTACACCCGCTTTGCAGGCAGCGAGGCTGTGCTAGCTATGATGCAGGGTAGATACGCCAACTGTGCCGATACAGAGTTTCAGATCCTTGAGGCCCTGAACCGCAGCGATGCTCTCCGAGCGAAGAATGACTTTGCTATTCTGACAGTCGGTGAATGGGTTGCAGAGGACAAAGCCATGCCCCTGCTTGCAAAAATTCTGTCAACGCTAAAAGAAGACGGCCAGCTGCTAGTTACTGATCTTGATCAGGCCACTGAAGCCAGAGTGAAGAAGGCTCTGAGAGAAGCTGGTTGCTCCTGCATCAAAGATCTGGCGCCGGCACTATCTCGTGGAGCCACTCTTGCTTCATCGAAGCAGGCTGAGGGGTTCCTCAACCAAACAGACATTACTTGCTTGCACCTTGCCGCAGGAGAAACCCACACAGGGAGGATCCTGGCTGGGCTTCAGAGTTCTGGATGGAACGTACGATCCATAACCTCGACTGAAACAATTCGACAACGAACCCATGTTCTAATTCTGGACGAACTATACACTTCTGTCACTGCAACGATTTCTTATCAACAACTTTTGATGATTCAAGAACTCATAAAGAAAGAGTGCAATATCCTTTGGGTCACAACTGGGGCACAGATGAACATCACCAACCCAGATCGAGCTGCCACAACGGGCTTCCTGCGGACACTCAGGATGGAAGAAGTCCACCTACGCATCATAGCTTTGGATGTCGAATATCCTGGAGGCAACAAGACCATTCCTGCTATTGAGACATGTCTTAGGTTACTGGTCAACGCAGAGGGCAAATTTAGGCGGGAAAGCGAATTCGCTGAGCAACAAGGCCTGATCCACACACCTCGGCTCTTGGTCGACGACGAGTTTGAGGTGGCGAAGTTCGACCATTTGAGAGGTAGACAGCCTGAGATGCTGAATGTGCAAGGCGACACGTGCCTGCGGCTGCAAATGGACGTGGGTTCGAGCACGTCACTGTGCAGAGAGGTGAAATTGCCATCGATCCTGCAACAAGACCACGTAGAGGTGGAAATCTTTGCCACGGAGTTACCACCGCGATTACAATGCCTACAATATACAGCGTGGTCAGGGGCAGCGGGGACCATCACGGCGCTTGGAAGCAAAGTAATTGGCTTGGAGGTTGGGCAGCGAGTAGCCTTCAGTCATGATGGCTATATGCTGAACCGAGTGTGTCTCCCCTCCGCTTCCGTTCAAAGGATTCCAGACGAGTTGTCGTTTGTATCAGCTGCTAGCCTTTCTGGGGCTTGGTTCACAGCGCTGTATGGATTAAAGAGGCTGGCGAATCTTCAAAAAGGCCATCGTGTGCTCATCTATTCGAATGGTAACCCGAGGGACTTGGCAGCCATAAAACTTGCCCTGCATTTAGGAGCTCAGGTAACTCCATGAGACCTTTCCCTGCATTACCACAAGGCCGAACTAACAAGTCACAGGTATACGTTGGAATTTCTAACGAAGATGGACGTACCTTACTGCAGAATGAGGTCCCGATACCACCCAACCGAATCATGGTATTGAATCGAGAAGATACAAGTGGCGACCGCATTCGATTGGCTGGAGAAGTCCTGTTTGACGTTGCTTTAGGCTCCTTCTCGGATATCCATCTAGCTATGGTGTGGAGGCATGTAGCTGAAGATGGTACGCTTGTCTTGACCGAGCAGACCGAGGACTCGACGCAAGTCAACCTTTCATTGGAGCCTTTCACACGAGGGGCCTCTTTCAAAGTCCTGAACCCTCAAAATATACGAAAGGATACCCTCATCTGCAATCAGTGAGTTGTATCAACCAAAGATGCCGTAATAGTACCTGGCTTACATCTGTCAGGTTATTAACAGAAACACTCGGGCTCTTGAGCGTCGGCAGTAGCCTATCATCACTCTCGCTGAAAGTATTTGGTTATGATCAAATTGAAAACGCCGTACAATGGATGAAAGCCAACAAATTCGCGCAGGCGATGCTATGTCGCATTTGGGGCCAGGATGTTATGATTCAAGTATGTGCTGCCCTCTTCTATCCGATCGCTGTTGTATGTGGCTGACTTGTCCGCCAAAGATACAGCCAGAACCCCGGACAATCAAATTCGAGGAACATGCATGCTACCTCCTAATTGGCGGCCTCAGGGGCCTTTGTGGAAGCATTGCTATTGATTGGGCGAGGCGCGGAGCGAAGCATCTTGCCGTAATGTCGCGCAGCGGCTACGATGACGAGACCTCGCAAAGGGTCTTGCGAGAGATCGAGGGTATGGGCTGCCATATCGATCTTTTGCAAGGGGATATAACCATACTGGATGATGTCCGGCGGGCCCTCTCTGAAACGAGTGTTCCAATTCGTGGTATCTTGCAAGGTTCTATGGTCCTTCGAGACCGACCTTTTCCGGCCATGACTATCGAAGAGTTTCACCAAGCAGCAGGATGCAAAATCACGGGGACCTGGAACATTCACAACGCATCACAAGACTTGGGCCTCGATCTGGACTTCTTTACCCTGCTCTCAAGCATTGCTAGCGTTCTGGGAGGGATGGCACAAGCCAACTACGCTGCAGGTTGCTCTTTCCTTGATGCGTTTGCTGCCTACCGCCACGGCCTCGGTCTTCCAACGTTCAGCGTCAACCTTGGCATCATCGGTGAGGTAGGCTACATGTCGCGGGATGAGGCATTGCTCGAAAGGCATATCGGATCCGTCACAACCAGTATCAACGAAGACTTGATGAGACAAATCATACGATACACTGTTCTCCAGCAGAGCAAAAAACCGATCAGCCACTCGGCCACGTCAAACATTGTGACAGGTATCGCGGTACCGCAGTCTGGCGACTCCTACCTTCGATTGGACAAGCGGTTTTCGCACCTCTTCATAGGTGGCGACGCTCAGCTTCGGGGAGCCGAAGACAGCGAGACAAGGGATAACGCCCGTCAGACAAGAGAGCTCAGGGCCCTGCTTGCGACGCAACCAACAACAGCAGATCGTGGGGTGGCGTTGGAACTCGCCATTGCGGTGGTTAGCGATTACATTGCGCACGCAATGCACTTGAGCGAGCCTGTCGAGCCAGAACGATCACTAGCTATGTATGGAATCGATTCATTGGCGGCTGTGGCTTTCAGAAATTGGGCGAGAATGGAGCTGGGCGCTGGATTGTCCACAGGGGATGTCACAATGGCGCCGTCGCTGGTAGCGCTTTGTGAGAGTATAGTAGACGGCTCCAAGGAGTAACTATGATATCTCAACATCTCATGCCCTCTAAGGCGATGATATTTGTCGCCATATAGACACAACGCAATGTTTGCCGTTGCTGAGTGTCAGTGACATTTGGAGTCTCCCCCGTAGTCTTCACTATTATGACTGGCCTCGAGAGAGGTAGAACCCGGGCTCCACAAGCCCCTCAAACAGGACTAACCCCGCCCTAACTCGACGCTATCACCATTGAACAAGATCATCGATCCACATAACAGCAGCCAGAGCGCCATTATCCCGCTGAAAATCCCCATAGCTGAGGCGAAGTAGCTACAACAGGTACAAGTATGCATGCACCAATCCCTGTCGGCATCAATCATTGTACAGTCTGCGTGGCTTAGCTGGTCAGAGCGTCGGTCTCATATTCATCAATATGACTGGATCATCAGATCTAGATATCCGAAGATCATGAGTTCGATCCTCATCGCGGACAATTCTTTTGCTCGCTGTAATCAATTTAAAGATGCACAGCATGTCTCATTGTTTTTTCTTGTTCGCCGGCGGTATCGCGGAAGGGATAGCCCCGAGCCCAGTCAGTATTCGTGCTTGACCTGTACGACTGCGGACATGCCGAGAGTCCGAGAGCCGGATACACCGACATTTCGGGTGCCGTGATCCAGTGCCCGGCCGGCTCACCGCCCAGTATATGGACATGCCGAATGCACACTTACAGTAGCTTTCAATGGATATCGATCGATGACACGTTAGCTTCGCGACCACTGGTATTTTCGCAGCATGCTCAAATTGGCCGTGCCATGGCACGCTGGGTAGTACCAGATCGACGCCCTGACTCCGACATCGCGGAGCCGGAGACATGTCAAAATATTCAAAACAAGGAACGCGACGCCGCCTTGGGATTTCCTGGGTCTTCGCGGTTGAGTTGAGTAATGATGGGGTGATGTTTTGACGTCCATTACGTTGGCGAAACCCTTCACATCCAATCGAAATGGAAATAAATCACGACCTGGATGAAGCCAATGTTATTTAGGTAATGTTGTATAAAATCCCTGCTTGGCGTTTGTCCATCTTACAATTTTGATCTTGATTTGCGCTCATGTATGATTCTCGGAAAAGCAGTATAAGAAGATCGTATTCGAAACAGAAAAATGGCTGGTATCGGCAAGTCAAGTGGAAGCAGACAACGGTCACTGCAGTCCGGAACAGCTTCCATCAAACCAACACCTTAGATTGCGTCCGCCTCGCCTCCTAACCAACCAGACACATGTCAGTCAGATCAATGCATCTCTCGACACCTCGTGAAGCCACCGTCCCTCCATTAAAGGGGCCGAATCTACGTTAAAGAATTTCGCCACTGGACTGAGGCTTCAAAATGGCGATGCACGTCTACGTTGGCGGAGCATGTCCCTGGCTGGATGGCCACATCAAGTCGTTCATTCGGCGCCATGTTCCAGACGCCGTATTTGTCAGCGATCCCAAGGCTATACCAAAGGACGCATCGACCGTTTACCAGTTCTGCGATGGCTGGGAGCTCAACGAGAACTTCGCGGTTCTCAACGCTGCAGCAAACGGCCTGATCAACGCGTATCCCAGCAGTGATGCCCTCGCTCGGAAGGATTACATGGCTCGAGTCATCGAGTGCTGGACAGCAAAGAGGCCTGACAGCATCTTGAAGACCAATTCGCCGGCCACGGTGCGGCTTTCTCTCGATTACGCCGAGTACGTCGATGACGCCCTGGCGGCGGCAGACGATTTGACGATACTATACTCACTGGAGGATAATCTCAACAAAGAGCCGTCTGATCGGGAGTGGTGGATCCTTAAGCCAGCCCTCGTAGATTGCGGCGCCGGCATCCGCATCTTCAGCACGGAAGAGGAACTCGCCAGCAACCTCGAACTTGCTGAGGACGAAGATGACGACGAAGACACGGACTCAGTCACAGAAAGGTCTGAGCCGGCGACCGACCTCGAAGACGGCATCAATCCGAAAGACTTCCTACCAACGCTCTCCACACCCGGCCTCACCGCCCTTGATGCACTGGTCACGGCGACCTCATCACTGGTCATTGACCCGCGCCCGAAGAAGAAGCAGCAGTACGTGTTCAAAGCCGACGGACGCATCCCATCAGCTCAGATGCGGGAGTTTGTCGCCCAGCGCTACATTGTCTCCATTCCGCCGCTCGAGAAACGCAAATGGCACGCCCGGGCTTACGTCCTTTCTGTCGGCCGCCTCAAAGTCTACGTGTTCAGGGACATGCTCGCGCTTCTAGCGGGCGAAGACTATGCACCACCGTGGCTGAATCCGAGCCTGCGCGCATCCCTGACCAACACAGGGCTGCAAGAAGACGAAGACATCTTGAGCAAAGAGTCGATGCGCAGTCTTTGGGCTGCACCAGACGATCTTTTGCCTGGTGATTGGAAGAACGAATTGTTCAGGCAGGTGTGTGAGGTTTCGGCAGAGCTCTTCAGAGGGGCGGTGCACACGATGGCTGATAAGTTTACGACGATGAACAAATGCTTTGAGCTGTTCGCGCTGGATTTTCTCGTTGACACGAATGGGACGGCTTGGTTGTTGGAGGTGAATGAAACACCAGCATTTTATGAGCAGGGTGTCGCTGGGTCCATTGCCCTCAACCTGATGGAGTCGGTCATAGCTGTGACGCTGCAGCACATGGGGCTGGCGAATGGCGTAGGTGGGATGAGCAAGACGTCGAAGGCACGGATGGTACAGGTGTTGGACGAGACGAAAAGTCTGGCGAAGAGCAACATTACTGAGATCCTGCCCGAGTAGACGTGGACGATACATCTAGACAATCGGAGTTGAGAGCGTAGGAGAGACCCGGCACCCGTCTGACAATGACGACGACTCTAAGCCACCATAACAGCCTCGAAAAATGATAGTAGCCGACCGCTCGCGACCATGTTCTCTTGTATAACCTCACGTCAGCATGCGGGTGCTTAGTCCCCTGCAGCGTTCAGACGATGGACTTTGTGTGCCTGGCCTCGCATGACTGCATCGGCTACTGAACGGGTCGTCTTTCCCGTGATCCAAACTATCAGAGGACAGCAGCCCAAATGATATCATGTAGCATGCTTCAAGGTGACATGCTTCAAGCAACGTAAGGTCGCAGCCTGAGTCGAAGTGAATCATCACTGCGCACGGCAAGTCACTCGTGAGAACCGAGGTTAGCCTGCACTCCGGACTCGGTGAATGTTGCGACTGGACCTTTGGGCGCTGAATAAGTGCCTATCTTATTACTCCGCCCTTAAACCCATGGTTGGCTGAGGGAGATATAGCGAAAGCTGTGGCTTGCTTGCGTGTCGCCAACGGACTGTCGGCGAAATGCCAGACAGGGTCTGGTTGGCGGCGTAGGCTTCTACTGCGGGCGCGGCCTGTCTTGCATGCACAGCAGCCCGGAATAATCCTCCATGAAGGACGACATGGCATCGCCTACCGGACATGGAGGTAGAACAATTGGTATCTCCGAACGCGCCTATATGAATCCTTCGATGAACCAGCTTTTATTCAATTTGTTGATTATTCCTAGCCTCATACATCATCTGTAGCTCGTTATACTCAGCCATCGAATAAATTGTCTCTCGACCTAGGGCTGTATTGTTCAAGACAAGTCGGGTTACGTATCGAGCTCACGACTGAAAGTCATGACTACGTTTCGTAGAAGTACATTTCTCCCGTACAAAGCTACTTTGACGGAGGAGAACCTCCCCGATCAGTTTGGCAAGGTGAGCTTCTCCTCCTACTCGGGTACTCCCTTTTGTTAACGGGACAGGTTTTCATCGTCACCGGCGGCAATAGTGGCGTTGGGAAAGAATTGGTCAAAATCCTCTATCAGCACAATGCTCGCATCTGGATAGCGACACGCTCCAAGGAGCGCACCGATGAGGCCATTGCCGAGATTCAAAAGGCCCATCCTAAGTCCAAAGGCCAACTGCTCTTCCTCAAGCTTGTGCTTGACGACCTTGGGACGATCAAGCAGTCAGCATCCGAGTTTGCCTCTCAAGAAACGCGTCTCGACGTCATCTGGAACAATGCAGGCGTCATGCTACCAGCAGAGGGCTCTAAGACCGCCCAGGGCTTTGAATTGCAGCTTGGTGTCAACTCCCTGGCTCACTTCCTGTTCATCAAGCTCCTGACTCCGATACTACAAGAGACCGCCAGAGCTGCACCACCGCGAAGTGTCCGTATTGTTTGGGTGTCTTCTATGTCAGCTGACTTCGCACCCAAGCCGGCCATCGACCTTGGCAACATGGACTATCACAAGGAAGAGGACAACATGACGAAATATAATCGGTCAAAGGTTGGCAACTTGATACATGCCGCTGAATTTGACAGGCGATTTCCGGAGAGCAATATTATCAGTGTGGTAAGTCCATAACCCCACTCCGCAACGCGTCTATCGTCGTCTTCTGACTGTATCATCAAGTCCTTGAATCCTGGACTTTTGAAAACCAACCTGCAGCGGAACTTTGGTGCCGCCCAAAAGTTCCAGGTTGTAAGTTATATCTTGAACAAACCTCTCTGTTCTCCGTCTGCTATCTATGCCTGTTATCTTTCTTTGGTAAAACGCAAGTTGAAACCAGATAACTTCTCGACACCGTCCGAAGTCCTCGCGTTTTGTTGAACTCGGTTCTCTTGGGACCATAGATCGTTGGCTAATCTTTAATAGAAGCTAATGGGAAAGCCTGCCAAGTATGGAGCGTACACTGAATTGTTTGCGGGGCTTGACTCTTCGATCACGTCGAAGGATAAGTGGAGTAAGTAGTTGACAGTGTGATTCTCCGTGCAATCGCAGCTCTCTTGATGCTGACTGTTATCAGTCACTCCATTCGGGAGGCGAGAGGAGCCCCGAGCAGACATCGTCGAACCTGAGCTGGGGAAAAGGTACTGGGACTGGTGCGAGGATCAGGTCAGGTCTTTTTCCTAGCCCGCAACACGAAAGAAAGCAGGCCAAGTCTGGAGAATAAATAAGAGCGATTAAATGTCAATAAATTAAAGCCAAATAATTCGTACGCACATTGTTAAGAAAGTCATTCGGCGCTTTCTGTTGCCTGGGGTCTATTTGCTGGGCGTGGTTGCTATTGTTTGTACTTCTCTGTTATCTAAACACTCCACACTCCAATCCCATGAAGTATCTAACCATGATAAAGAATGGGATATCGAAGTTACTCTGGAAAACCGATGTGTTCCTCGTCTGTAGCACCTCCCTGCTGCACCGCAACTCCAAAACCGGCAAAAGATTTCGCCGCCGAGTGACGCAATATCTGATTTCCGAACCAGGGAATCGAACCCTGAGCCTGACGGTGAGAGCGTCAAATGTTAGCCATTACACCAGTTCGGATTGGTGTTTCGCAGGACTGAATTACTAGTTTACAAAGTGTGGACACGGATATGGAGCTGTGGTGGGGGTGAACCCCCATTGCCCGTGTTGGCGCATCGGGGTTCTTCTGCCCATCCGTTATGTCAAGGTATGGAACTTATGGTCAGGCAATCGACCGCACGTTGTTGAGATTAGAGCGCGAGGCAGTGAATCAAGTTATCAGACGTGCGTTCATATTCCCACAGGCACGTGGGAAAGTGACCAAGTCCAAGCTACAGCTTAACTGAATTTTTTCTCTCGCATTGCAAATGATGGTTTTTGGTACAGACGACGTCGTCGAAACACGAGATTGACGACAAGCCAGCTTACCCCGGCGGCGTCCACGGCCGTGAGCATCGCAATACAATCACTCGTATACCTTCTTATTATTCACGTACGCTTGGACTCAGTGCAGAAATACACCCTAGATCCTGGCTTGGTCTTGGTCTCGTGGTAACCCGATGCGTGCTTATTGACAGACACAAAAGCTACCTTAGTATTGGCCGTGAGACATCACAGACGAAAGCTTTCATAAATCGAGCTACCGAAGGTCGAGGTTTTGAGAGGTTGTAAAGAGTCTTGGCAATTCCGGCAGTTGCAGCCCAGACTTGGCCTTAATGATCTCTTTAACCGTAGTAGGAAGGAGCAGGAAGGAGCCGGTGATCTCCCTATGGGCAGGATATCGGTGCTACGCAGATAATCTAATCGCAACCTTAGATACCTGAGCAACAGCTAGCCATCCGGAGAAAATATCTTACAAAGAGAAGGTTTAATTTAGGTGAGACTATAGACAATCAAGCTTATATATACGGGGAGACGATCGAGAAAGACACCCATTCTGTGCAAAGGCGTAGGAGTGCGATGTCAAGATGATTCGCCACTGAGGGCTAGAACATTCGGGCAGCTCGGCCAGGTACCCGCTGAGAGAAACGCAATGTGATCTGCGCCGCTGAATGATCTCCTGCCCTATACTAACTACTTCCCCGCGGACAGTGACACTCTCGTAAAGCGGCAGTTTCCATCTCTGCATGAGCACGATTTGAGGTCCGTTGCACTTTAGGCAGCTGGAGGCATTCAGCTGAACTGCACGTCAAGCTTCACCGCAATGGCGCACATTACTACCTCTGTGGCAATATCGGGAAGGAGGATCTTCGAACGGGATGTTGATGGATAATAAATAGGCCCTGACTACCGTCGGGTACTGCCGAATACCCTTGGAACTTGTAACCAGCACCATTGTTGGTTTCTACTCCTCTCTATCTCTGGGACAGCCTTGTATCATTGCCATTACTATGCATCTCCAGACCGCCCTTGCCGTTCTGGCTTCTGCTGCTCACCTTGCCTCTGCAGCTCCAGCTGCTGAGAGCATCAAACAGAATTCTCCTCTGAGGCTCATCAAGACTTCTGAAGAAGATCCCGGTCGATGGGTGACTGAAGAGGAGAAGGCAAAGTTGGTGCTCGGCTCCAAGCGCATCAACTTCATCGACATCACCGACATCCAGGTACGAGAAACACCGCCCACATCCGAGAGGCTTGAATTGACCCTGGTAGGATGAGGCTGTTCTTTCCGTTCTCTCGACGCCTCCTTCGGAGTCTTCCCTCGAGGCCCGTCAAGTCAGGTACCCGACGACTTTGACGCACGTCGCTGAAGCCAATGCCTTGATTGCCGGAGTGTCTAACACTAGGCCTCAGAGCTGGCTCCAGACTTTGACCAAGTAAGACCATGACTTCATTGTCCGCGTGCTTTGATCCAGTCCATTGTTACTCACACACCAAAGCTTCCAAAACCGCCACTACCAGTCGACATACGGCACCCAAGCGAGCACTTGGCTCTTCAACCAGGTCACAACGGTGCGGCCGCGAACCCAGCTA